GACACGTGTACCAAAACGGGTGGGGTTAAAAGTAACAGAGGCATCCACCGAATCAACGAGGTGTTTATGGAGGAAGAAATCGTCAGGACGTGTAGAATCCAGATGGTTGAGATCAAAGTATTTAGTCCATGTAGCAGGACCAAACAAGGCGTGGAACGTATTAGCACTGGAAGGAATCGTGCGAGTTCGTCTGTGGGGGTGTCGGCACCACGCTCCCCCAGTGAGAGGGGGGGGGGGGGGGGTAAAGGTGCAGTTGTCACAATGAGAGAAGTAGCCGCTCCAGGTGATGAGGTGGTCACCACTGGGGGCTTGGGGCTCAACCCTACCACAGAGGAGGGAGGGGAGCAGAGGGGGGTAGTCGGGAGGGTCAAAGGAGTAGCTTGGTCTGGGCCCAATGTAGCGGGGGCTACAGAGCCCGGTCTTCCAACACAGTCCGACTCGGGGGCTTGGTCGCCCACCCCACGAGCCTGGGAAGTTATAAGAGGATCATTCAGCGGCATAGAAACGAGGAGGTAATAATTTCATTCACGAATAAGCCCCCATACCCACCATGGAGCCACAATTAGAGGATAGGACACCCAACAAGAGACAAGGCCCCCCCCCCAGGGGTGCATCGTGAGTATACGCCCCACAATCGCCACCTTAAGAACCGTCAGTCCGTCGAGATCGGGTTCAGCAACGAAGGCGAGGATTGACAATAAAAGCGTCCCCTCGCTCGCAACGTTGGGTACCACAGTTCTACGGGTGAGAGAGTGTGCCTCCCCAAACACCCGGGTGTCAAAACAGAAGATGTCCGAAAGAATAATCAAGAATGGCAAAAGGTCGGCAGGAAAGACAATGAGAAAGGAGAAGAGGGGGGGGGAAATGAAACATAGGGAAGAGGAAATAGTGACCAGCATAATTAGTGAAGACTACAGCAGGAGTATAAGGCATCAAAAAGACAAGAGGACTGTCCCAGAGGACACCCCGGCAGCCGCCCACCAAGCCCCCTGTCAACGACAACGGACTGGAAAGGGTCATGAGACACGGGAAGGTCATGAGACACGAGGAAGGTCATGAGACACGAGGAAGGTCATGAGACACGTGGAAGGTCATGAGACACGTGGAAGGTCATGAGACACGTGGAAGGTCATGAGACACGTGGAAGGTCATGAGACACGTGGAAGGTCATGAGACAGTAGGAAGGTCATGAGACACTAGGAAGGTCATGAGACACGAGGAAGGTCATGAGACACGTGGAAGGTCATGAGACACGTGGAAGGTCATAAGACACGTGGAAGGTCATGAGACACGAGGAAGGTCATGAGACACGAGGAAGGTCATGAGACACTAGGAAGGTCATGAGACACGTGGAAGGTCATGAGACACGAGGAAGGTCATGAGACACGAGCTTAGAGACATGCTCGATAAGAGACATGAGGACAACGAGCTGAGATATGAAGATAATGAGCTGAGAAATGTGGACAAGCAGCTGTGATAGGAAGACAAGACGCTGGGATAGGCGAACAAGAAGCTGGGATAGGAGGACAAGTAGCTGGGATAGGAGGACAAATAGCGGGGATAGGAGGACTAGAAGCTGGGATAGGAAGACAAGTAGCTGGGATAGGAGGACAAGTAGCTGGGATAGGAGGGGACAAGTAGCTGGGATAGGAGGACAAGTAGCTGTGATAGGAAGACAAGTAGCTGGGATAGGAGGACAAGTAGCTGGGATAGAAAGACAAGTAGCTGGGATAGGAGGACAAGTAGCTGGGATAGAAGGACAAGTAGCTGGGATAGGAGGACAAGAAGCTGGGATAGGAGGACTAGAAGCTACGATATGAGAACAAGTAACTGATATATGAAAAACAGTGACTCAAGTAATTTTATGAGACTATATAAAAAAATATAAATTCCTCCGATGGACTAAAGCGAGGCAACACTATATAGTCACGGCGACTCGAAAATCCAAAATGAGTGTTTTAGGTCGAGCAGTCGTCATAGTCGTTGGTCACCTAGGCCGCGCCTAGAATACCTCAGCTAGTGAACACTGAGCGTCCTAGACCAGAGCCCTGGCAACACCTATGGCGACCGCCCCATTACACTCTTCGTCTATATATTTATTAAACATGCTTTACCACGCTAAGTGGCCTGTCATGTGGAAAGTGCACTAAGTCTTCCATAGGTCAAGTTAAACTTTATCATGCTAATTATCACTGTTCACTTTTTACAATATATCTGAGTAAATTCATTAGATTGTAACTGTTTAGTAAATTAATAATATTTTAAGGTAATTGTAATTTTGCTATCATATGCTTCAAATCAGTTACCAGGCCATAACAGACTGTGCAGCTCTTATGTGGTACTGGGCAGTGGTTACACTCGCAACAAACATTAGCAAATAAATGCTCTCCTTTTGCTAAGCCTCTAAGTTCACGTACTTCAAGTGTCTTTGGTGGACAAGCTTTTAGTTTAGGGATCAACACTGGTCTTACACAGGATATTTAACTCAAACTTTAGCTAATGAATGGTATTTATGATACAATACTTGAAATAATAAAAGTTACCCGGGTGTAGCCAATCTTCATCCCTTTCCAGCTGTGGTTCCTCTTGGTCCTCCTCGGAGTCGTCCTCCTCCAAGTCGCTAGTCTTACATATGGCGCTCATCACCATGGCGATCACAATTATCTGTTTACACAAACATTACTGATTCATAGATAGATAATTAAGGAATCACTGAACATATTGTTTAAATACTGTAAATACATAATGGTAGCAGACGCTGGTGTTTCTCAAACGAGGTTGAGAAACATCAAAATGAGAAAAAATACTTTATATATAGGTAACATTTGGCTGGTGAGACCTTTACTACATCTATTTCAAATACAGAGAACAATGTTTATAAAGAAGAAACAATGTAGGGTGTGTGGGCAAAGAGGCAAAGATGAGAAACATAATTATGTGACAATTTATGTTAAAGAATAATATTAATTATCAAGATGTATCGTAGCTTTAAACTTTTAATAGTAATTTTCCAAGATGTTGTGTTTGGTGGCTGCAGATTCTATACACTGTTACCTAATGTTGTTTATTTTTGGGTTGCTGTTGATCCTGTGTGTGTGACGCGAGCATTGTTGGTGCTATCAGCATGGCAGGCATACTTGTGTTGCTGCTAGTTCTTGTGTGTGACGCGAGCATTGTTAATGCTATCAGCATGGCAGGCATACTTGAGTTGCTGCTAGTTCTTGTGTGTGACGCGAGCATTGTTGATGCTATCAGCATGGCAGGCATACTTGTGTGCTGCTAGTTCTTGTGTGTGACGCGAGCATTGTTGATGCTATCAGCATGGCAGGCATACTTGTGTTGCTGCTAGTTCTTGTGTGTGACGCGAGCATTGTTGATGCTATCAGCATGGCAGGCATACTTGTGTTGCTGCTAGTTCTTGTGTGTGACGCGAGCATTGTTGATGCTATCAGCATGGCAGGCATACTTGTGTTGCTGCTAGTTCTTGTGTGTGACGCGAGCATTGTTGGTGCTATCAGCATGGCAGGCATACTTGTGTTGCTGCTAGTTCTTGTGTGTGACGCGAGCATTGTTGATGCTATCAGCATGGCAGGCATACTTGTGTTGCTGCTAGTTCTTGTGTGTGACGCGAGCATTGTGGTGCTATCAGCATGGCAGGCATACTTGTGTTGCTGCTAGTTCCTGTGTGTGACGCTGTTACGGACCAGAGTCCAGCGTCGTAACACGGAGCAGTGACGACAATGGACGACGCCATCTAGTGAGGACGGAATATACCAGCCACAGGGGCTGGTTTCCCGTCTTAATCAGCTCGTGACATAGCCGCTGCTGACCTCTGGTGAGGTGGCGCTTAGACAGCAACGCCATCTATGGAGTGGATAGGTGGACGTTTGTGTCTAAGCCTGTAAGTGAGGTGCCCTAGAGTGTAACCAGTACTAATGACGTGTCTGATTACAGAGTCGACCTGGGACTGCTGTATCGGACGATGGGGCAGTCTACCCAAGGCAGCCATAGTCTCTCCACGAGTTTACTCTGAGGAAGCTGTGAGTCACCCCGGACGAACACTGTTAAGTGTGTTAGCCTGCCTGTGACGTGGCAGTAACAGGAATCGTCTTATCTGGGGGCTGGCTGGTGGAAGAGACTACCCACTGTGGTGCGGAGAGAGGAGAGTGATCTGCGGAATCACACGAGGCTCCTGCCTAGGGCTCGCAACCCTAGTATCGGTCGTGGAGTGGCCTACACAGCGGAGCTGATTGAAACCTGCCAGCTACAGGCTGGATTTGTGGTTGAACGCCTCCATGACGGTGCACCCAGTGGGACTGTGATTTGGCTGGCCTGTGGCCGGGGGTAGATTCGCCGAGGGAATCAGAGGATCCATCGTGAGACACGAAGAAGAGAACCAGGCTACTCATCTTGAGCACCGTGGAGCATCCTGTGTCTTCAGAGGAAGACTAAATTGTATATAATAAGTGTAGTTATAGCAACCCCATGTGACTGTGATATATATATTTATAGTGGTGGTAGCAATATAAATACAAAAGCAGTGCATTTGTGTCCCTTCCCCTTTAATTTGCTTGCGTTACGGACTACACCCCTTGAAAGCCACTACTAACTTGGGGCCGGATACCCAAACTCTAATAACATCAGAGAAGAACCCGGTTGCGACCCAATAGGGCCGTAACAGACGCGAGCATTGTTGGTGCTATCAGCAGGGCAGGCATACTTGTGTTCCTATGACCACACATCAATGTGTCGAGATGTTTCACCTATTATACTGAAACAAGTATTATAGAGCTCAGCATATATCGGAGCCGTGATGACCTTGCTATTGGTAGCTTATGGCAGCGGAGGTGTCGAGGGAGGGGAGGGAATTATCAGGGGAAAGTGCCAAGCCATTACAACTATATAGCACTTGGAAGGGATCAAGATAAGGATTGGGATGGGACGGGAAGAAGGAATGGTGCCCAACTACTTGGATGGTCCGGGAATGAATACGGACCTGTATGAAGCGAAACTGTCGTTCTACCGTCCATCCCGAGGAGGTGTTGACAGTGGTACATATTGTGTACCACTGTCAAGACACCACCTCACCGTGGGTGGTGAACGCCGCCTCACCGTGGGTGGTGAACGCCGCCTCACCGTGGGTGGTGAACACCACCTCACCGTGGGTGGTGAACACCACCTCACCGTGGGTGGTGAACGCCGCCTCACCGTGGGTGGTGAACGCCGCCTCACCGTGGGTGGTGAACGCCGCCTCACCGTGGGTGGTGAACACCACCTCACCGTGGGTGGTGAACACCACCTCACCGTGGGTGGTGAACGCCGCCTCACCGCGGGTGGTGAACACCGCCTCACCGTGGGTGGTGAACGCCGCCTCACCGCGGGTGGTGAACGCCGCCTCACCGCGGGTGGTGAACGCCGCCTCACCGCGGGTGGTGAACGCCGCCTCACCGCGGGTGGTGAACGCCGCCTCACCGCGGGTGGTGAACGCCGCCTCACCGCGGGTGGTGAACGCCGCCTCACCGCGGGTGGTGAACGCCGCCTCACCGCGGGTGGTGAACGCCGCCTCACCGCGGGTGGTGAACGCCGCCTCACCGCGGGTGGTGAACGCCGCCTCACCGCGGGTGGTGAACGCCGCCTCACCGCGGGTGGTGAACGCCGCCTCACCGCGGGTGGTGAACGCCGCCTCACCGCGGGTGGTGAACGCCGCCTCACCGCGGGTGGTGAACGCCGCCTCACCGCGGGTGGTGAACGCCGCCTCACCGCGGGTGGTGAACGCCGCCTCACCGCGGGTGGTGAACGCCGCCTCACCGCGGGTGGTGAACGCCGCCTCACCGCGGGTGGTGAACGCCGCCTCACCGCGGGTGGTGAACGCCGCCTCACCGCGGGTGGTGAACGCCGCCTCACCGCGGGTGGTGAACGCCGCCTCACCGCGGGTGGTGAACGCCGCCTCACCGCGGGTGGTGAACGCCGCCTCACCGCGGGTGGTGAACGCCGCCTCACCGCGGGTGGTGAACGCCGCCTCACCGCGGGTGGTGAACGCCGCCTCACCGCGGGTGGTGAACGCCGCCTCACCGCGGGTGGTGAACGCCGCCTCACTGCGGGTGGTGAACGCCGCCTCACCGCGGGTGGTGAACGCCGCCTCACTGCGGGTGGTGAACGCCGCCTCACCGTGGGTGGTGAACGCCGCCTCACCGCGGGTGGTGAACGCCGCCTCACCGCGGGTGGTGAACGCCGCCTCACCGTGGGTGGTGAACACCGCCTCACCGCGGGTGGTGAACGCCGCCTCACCGCGGGTGGTGAACGCCGCCTCACCGCGGGTGGTGAACGCCGCCTCACCGCGGGTGGTGAACACCGCCTCACCGCGGGTGGTGAACGCCGCCTCACCGCGGGTGGTGAACGCCGCCTCACCGCGGGTGGTGAACACCGCCTCACCGCGGGTGGTGAACACCGCCTCACCGCGGGTGGTGAACGTCGCCTCACCGTGGGTGGTGAACGCCGCCTCACCGCGGGTGGTGAACGCCGCCTCACCGCGGGTGGTGAACACCGCCTCACCGCGGGTGGTGAACACCGCCTCACCGCGGGTGGTGAACGCCGCCTCACCGCGGGTGGTGAACGCCGCCTCACCGCGGGTGGTGAACGCCGCCTCACTGCGGGTGGTGAACGCCGCCTCACCGCGGGTGGTGAACGCCGCCTCACCGCGGGTGGTGAACGCCGCCTCACCGCGGGTGGTGAACGCCGCCTCACCGCGGGTGGTGAACGCCGCCTCACCGCGGGTGGTGAACACCGCCTCACCGCGGGTGGTGAACACCGCCTCACCGCGGGTGGTGAACGCCGCCTCACCGCGGGTGGTGAACGCCGCCTCACCGCGGGTGGTGAACGCCGCCTCACCGCGGGTGGTGAACGCCGCCTCACCGCGGGTGGTGAACACCGCCTCACCGCGGGTGGTGAACACCGCCTCACCGCGGGTGGTGAACGCCGCCTCACCGCGGGTGGTGAACACCGCCTCACCCCGGGTGGTGAACGCCGCCTCACCGCGGGTGGTGAACGCGTACGCCGCCTCACCGCGGGTGGTGAACACCGCCTCACCGCGGGTGGTGAACACCGCCTCACCCCGGGTGGTGAACGCCGCCTCACCGCGGGTGGTGAACGCCGCCTCACCGCGGGTGGTGAACACCGCCTCACCGCGGGTGGTGAACGCCGCCTCACTGCGGGTGGTGAACGCCGCCTCACCGTGGGTGGTGAACACCGCCTCACCGCGGGTGGTGAACGCCGCCTCACCGCGGGTGGTGAACGCCGCCTCACCGCGGGTGGTGAACGCCGCCTCACCGCGGGTGGTGAACACCGCCTCACCGCGGGCGGTGAACACCGCCTCACCGTGGGTGGTGAACACCGCCTCACCGCGGGTGGTGAACACCGCCTCACCGCGGGTGGTGAACATCGCCTCACCGCGGGTGTAAAGAAATTTGGGTTTCGTAGCATCTCATAGAAAATGTGACTTCTTGCATCTCTCCTGGTTTCTATTTATCCATTAAACTCATATAAAACAATTTGTAAATCCCCATTGTGGGAACCAGAATGGTTTAAAAAGTGTTTCCCAAAACTGGACATATTTAATTTAAATAATAAATAACATAAGCTCCTCCGTCGGTTTGTCAATAAATGGGCAGAAAAGGAACCGAGCACACGATTAGTGGCTTGATCAAGGAGGGAGGAAACGTCATTAACTGATAACAACAAGTCTCTCCTGTGAGCATGCGAGCACATGCTCCACGAATACTTCCCGCGAATCATAGTGTTGAAGGACGTCAGAATCTTCAATCATCAACACGACTTCTCTAACCATAGGGAAATGTTCTGTATCCGATTGACCTTATATATCTTAGTATTTATGGCCATTTATGTAGATTTAGGTTGATCGGTATACTTAGGATAAAATACCTGAAATCCTTGCACTTTATCCATATATCGCTCCCAGTAGATAAACAACATATGGGATTAAGAAACAAGTACTGTATTGTAAAGACTAATAATAAACAGCAGCTTCCCTACGACTCTGTAATATCTCCATTGCTCAAACAATTATGAATTAGCGATAAGAGCTACATCAATATATAATGACTTACTGTAAGTATATAGCTCTTCAAATAGAACACTCTCTGTAATTAGCTGAGATTGTAATTATAAGATGTGAAGGATAGATGAAATTGTTTATGTAATCTCCGTTGAGGTCTGATAAAGACCTTTTGTGCCCTCTGCAATGATTTTGCGCAACCGCTCACAGGATAAGTATGAGGTGCACAATAAACAACCCGTTCTCGCAAATTTAATAAGTCAATATTGACTTATTAAATATGTGCATAGGTGACATACTTAACATAATAGTTTCCCTTGAAAAGCTTCATAGAAAACACCGACCTTACCTAACCTACTTAGTATGTTAAGATAAGCATCTTATTGCTTCATAATTATAATTATTACCTAACCTATACCTATAATAGGTTTAGTAACAATTGTAATTACGAAGCTATAATATGTTTATTTTAACATACTAAGTAGGTTAGGTAAGGTCGGTGTTTTCTATGAAGCTTTTCAAGGGAAACTATTATGTTTAGTATGTCACCTATGCACGCAACTAATAAGTCAATATTGACTTATTAAATTTGCGAGAACGGGTTGCAATAAACTAGCCGCCTCCGGCGGCAACAATAAAAAAAACAGGACAAGCCACCCGGATTAGGTAATCTTAAATTAATTAAATATAACTTCTTTCTCCTGATAGAGTCGTCATATATTTGTTACGGTTTATTACGATGTAACTATTTGACAGGTGAACTTGAAAGGGAAGGAGACATTATCAGCAAATTATCTTGTGCAACACGAGGCACGCTACGATGCCATTACTGACTGATCCACGAGTATATAGTTACATCATTTCAGCTTCCGCGACGTGGATGTGTCTATTGCTTATTCACCAGGCAACATTCTATATAACAGCTAAGCTGGAATATTTATTATTACTAACCATGTTTGAAATAGTAGAATAACCATTAATAGCAATTTATATCAATCGATTAAATTTGATTCAATATAATATAATTGAAACCCCCTAAACTTGTGAAGGAAAGCTACTTATGGGAAAATTACAATCATACAGTCCACTGTTGTATAATACAGTCCACTTTCGTAAGAAATAAATTTATAAGAACTTCAATTGTAAATCATTAAATAAATAAATTAATAATAGTGATTAAAATAAATAATCAAATCTCATTGGTCAGTTTTCCCTCACAAGTGAGTCATGAGTATCAATCCTCTCATCCATCCTCTTAAGGTTCGCAATTTTCTTATCAAGGACGTCATCGATGGCCTTCATCCCCATTGAGGCTTCAAGGAGTGTGCTGTCTTCAGGTTTGGTTATATGGATATTTGGCAGAACACCCTCTATTCTCTCTATGATGCCCTAATTGGAACATATTATTACGAACTTAGTTCGAAATAGGTGTTCAATAGAATAGTGTCAGTGTTCAGTAGAATAGTTCAATTCAATAGTTAATACTTCAGGTGCCTAAATTTGCACCTTGCTCCTGGATTATTCTGATGTCCTCCAGAAGGAAGTCTTGGGAACCAGCTAGAGTATCCTCATCCAAGAACCAGATGTTAAGCTCGCTGAACAGGACTTCTGTGACTTGTTTGATGACTAAGCAGAAAAGGAGAGGAGCAAGGGGGTAATCCTGTTGGACGCCTTCTCGCGAATCATTCACCAAAAAAGTAGCTTTAGATCCATACTGCAGCACGAAGGTACAAATGGGTAGAGGGGAGGAAATAGACGATGAACTGCACGGAGTACAGCTTCTCTCCGTACCAAATTATGAAGCCAGATTTTTTTAATATAACTTGATCAGGGCCTTTTCGTCTGTGATGTTAGCAATGAAAGCTCGAGCTGCGTGAGCTGCCGCCTCAGACCTTTGTGGAATGCTGAACCCGAACGGTTTTGATTTTAGCATGTTGGCTGCTGCCTGGCTAACTGTTATTGCAGCAACCTTTGCGAAGAGACACCGAAGGAAATTGGCCACAGCTATTGGTCTGATCCCTCCATCCTTTTTCCTTAAGAGCACAGAGAGATGCTCCAAAAAAGAAAGCCATTATGGTCTCAAGTGTGTTCCCAGCTAGACATGTGTTGGTGAGTCAGGTATCACCAAGAGACCTTGTGTAATGTCACCCAGTGCAGGGTTGAGTATTTGTTTAATGTGGTTGGGTTTTAGTTCTGTGAACCCACCTGCTGATCCTGTATGGAAGGACAAGGCTGTTTTATTGGCCACAGATTCGTCCACCCAGAGAGGTTCAGCTCAAGTATATTTATAAATATATATATATATATATGACAGTGTCAGACCACGGAGGAAAATTGAAACAGGAATTTCCTTAAGTACTTTCGTATATTAATACATCTTCAGAAGGAGTCAATTAATATACGGAGGAGGAGTAATAATAATTTACGAAAGTACTTAAGGAAATTCCTGTTTCAATTTTCCTCCGTGGTCTGACACTGTCACATTTTTAATCACGTGTTTATTTTCGTGATACACACACACACACACACACACACACACACACACACACACACACACACACACACACACACACACACACACACACACACACACACACACACACACACACACACACACACACACACACACACACACACACACACACGAGGCAGAACACCCTCTGCGAGAATAACGTCTGCGGCATATGCGAGGCTGGCTAACATCAGAACGGCGTTCAGGAACCAGTGTAAGGAATCATTCAGAATCTTGAACACCACATATGTAAGACCAATCCTGGAGTATGCGGCCCCAGCATGGAGCCCGTACCTTGTCAAGCACAAGACGAAGCTGGAAAAAGTCCAAAGGTATGCTACTAGACTAGTCCCAGAACTAAGAGGCATGAGTTATGAGGAAAGGCTGCGGGAAATGCACCTTACGACACTGGAAGACAGAAGAGTAAGGGGGGACATGATCACAACCTACAAAATCCTCAGGGAATCGACCGGGTAAACAAGAGTAACAGTGTACACAAGATCTTTATCCCGGACACCTGGCAAGATCGCCAATGTCAGGTTTAACATAGATGTAAATATAAGTATAAGTATAAGTAACCGTTCTCGATATCCGGTCCACGGTCGCCAACGTCGGGGTGTCTCTCTCTCTACATGGACACCACCCAGTAGTATTAGCGATAACTGTTACTCACCGTAACCCTGCGGGTCTTCACTCAATCCTCGCGGCACCACTGTTCGCCAGGAGAGTATCCCAGTCGATCCCCAGCCAGCCTTACAGCCAAAGAATGAGTGGGAACACAGTTTGCTCTCTCCTAACCGTGTGCCGGCCCCGACAAGGGCTCTACCACTAATTGCAAGGTCGCTAACTGGTGTTTCCCATGTCCAGTAACACGTCAGTGGTATTGTGGAATTGTGGTACCAGTGGCAGAGAGCTCACTCATTAAATCTGGTCTCAGGCAGGTATATGTCTCTAATACTCTCACTCTTTGGAACTGTTCTATAGCAACAAGATATATGGAGGGATAATACAAACGCAAAGGTATTTTGTATTTTTAAGTAAAATACAAAATATCTTTGTATTTTGAATATAATACTTCAAGGTATTATATCCGTATCAGCAACGAAACATCAAGTACAATGCAGAAAGTCACTCTCTCTTCATAAAACTGGGGCGCGTCTAGAGGGTAACACTCCCCCCCCCTCCTGTCAATGTCATAATCAGCTGAGTGGCCCCCTCACCGTGCGATTGCTTAGTACTTGTTTCTTTGGCGTGAAGCGCCTGATTCTTTAAATTCGCAGGGATCACTATGTTTGTAATCAACACAATATTTCTATAATGGCAATAGAATGCAATGAATCACCACACTGATCTCAAGTTCAATAACTCATTTCTACAGCACTTAACATAATATTTCACTATAATGGCATTGCACTGTACTTAATGATAATAAATGCAATCAGTTACGGTACTGACCTTAGATTCAGTAATTCCTTTCGCAGGCGATAACACAATTAATCACTGCACACATGGAAATGTTATCCAACACACCAACATATGCATATATAGAGATAAATTCGTCAATATCAATAATAATAAGACAAATACTGGGCACAGCCTACCACCAATAACTGGTACACCTATATATATATTCTCTGACATAAGTTATCATATTAATGTCACATGAAAGAAATCATCAACGACACAGTAAACTCTTCAATGATAACAGGTGCATCCACACACCACCGCAAATATTTATACTGTGAGGGCTTTCTACAGCCTCACTTCTCACCACTGTGTCCTACCGTGACATAGACATTAGTGAGCCTTGCTCACGACATGAAAGATACTCTGGCTAAATATATAACTGACTAAAGCGGAATTGGGAGGGAAAC